ATGAAATTATGATTTAATTGCATGAGTTGAAAGAAACATCAACTCAATATTCTAAGTTCGTATGAAAAGAGAAAAGAAGGGAACTCAACTCAATACTCTAAGCTCGCATGGAAAAAAAAAGAAAAAGAAGAAAAAATAAATAAAAAAAATAAATAAATCAGTATTCCAATCTCGTATTCTAAGAAAGAAGAAAAGCAAACAAACAAACAAACATAAAGACATCAACTCAATCCTCTAAGCTCGTATGGAAAAAAACAAAACAACAAAGCAAAAACAAACACCAACTCAATATTCCAAGACGAAAACCAAACAAGGAAACAAAAGAAACACCAAAAATCCTCTAAGCTCGTATGGAAAAAAAACAAACAACAAAAAAACACAATCAACCTAACATATATCCAAGAGAAAAGAAAACAGAAACAAAAAGAAACACCAAAATCTTCTAAGCCCAAACAAGAAGACACATCAACTCGACCCTCTAAGCTCGTATGAAAAAAGAAAAACAAACAAAACAAAAACAAACATCACTCATATTCCAGAGAAAGAATAAAACAAGAAACAAGAAGAAGACACCCGAAAACCTCGAATCCCAAACAAGAAGACACATCAACTCGACCCTCTAATCTCGTATGGAAAAAAACAAACAAACAAAGCAAAAACAAACATCAAGAAAAACAAACAAAACAAAAACAAACATCAACTCAATATTCCAAGGAGAAAAAAAACAAAACAAGAAACAAAAAGAAACACCAAAATCCTCAAATCCCAAACAAGAAGACACAATCAACTCGACCCTCTAAGCTCGTATGGAAAAGAAAGAAAAACAAACAAAACAAACAAAACAAAAACAAACATCAACTCAATATTCCAAGAAAGAAAAACCAAACAAGAAACAAAAAGAAACACCCAAATCTTCTAAGCCCAAACAAGAAGACACCAAATCCTCTAAGCTCGTATGGAAAAAAAAAGAAAAACAAAACAAAACAAAAAACAACACCAACCAATATTCCAAGAAAGAAGAAAAAAAGAAACAAAAAGCAACACCCAAATCCTCTCTCAGCCCGCCCCGCCCTCACCAGATGAAGGCGACGCTGAGGAACTGGACGGCGTGGAGGGCGAGGGCCAGCGTCCGCCACTGCGCGAGGGCGAGGGCGATCCAGGGCAGCGCGCACATGCCCAGCGTCAGGAAGAGCATCACGGGCACGTTGGCCATGAGGGTGCGGTACTCGGGGGCCACGTACTCCAGGACTGCGGGAGAAGGGCGCCTCAGGGTTGCGGGCGTGGGCCTCGCCGCCCTTCGGGTGCTGTGGGCGTCTGTGCTTCTCTCTCTCTCTCTCTCTTTCTCTCGCTCTTTCTTTCTCTGTCTCTGTCTCTGTCTGTCTCTCTGTCTCTGTCTCTTTCTTCTCTGTCTCTGTCTCTGTCTCTCTCTCTCTTCTCTCTCTCTCTCTGTGTCTCTCTGTCTCTCTGTCTCTCTGTCTCTCTCTCTCTCTTCTCTCTCTCTCTCTCTCTCTCTCTCTCTCCTCTCTCTCTCTCTCTCTCTCTCTCTCTCTCTCTCTCTCTCTCTCTCTCTCTCTCTGCCTTTATCTCTCTTTTGTCTTTCTTTCTGGTTACTCTCTCTCTCTATCTGTCTATCTATCTATCTATCTATCTATCCATCTCTCTCTCTCTCTCTCTCTCTCTCTCTCTCTCTTCTCTCTCTCTCTCTCTCTCTCTCTCTCTATATATATATATATATATATATATATATATATATATATATATATATATATATATATATATAATGTATATAATATATATATATATATATATATATATATATATATATATATATATATATATGGTGTGTGTGTGTGTGCAAGGTCTATTTTAACACATTTATATAGACCTTGTGTATGTATGTATGTATATGTGTGTGTATGTATGTAAGTATGCATGCATGTATGTACTTATATGTGTGCTCATATATATATATATATATATATATATATATATATATATATACATATATATATATGTATATGTATATGTATATGTATATGTATATGTATGTTTATGTATGTATGTATGTATACACATGATTGCGTATGTGCACAAATATCCCCCCCCCCCCCCCTCCCCAGCGGCACCGGCGCAGGAGGCCACTCACACAGGACGAAGGCCACGAGTCCCTGCTGCTCGTGCGTTACCCCGACGAAGAACCTGCAGGCGGCGAACATGGCGAAGGAGTCGCTGAAGGCGGACGCGACCCCGCGGCGCCCCCAGCAGGTTGGTGAAGACGATGATGGGGAGTCTGCCCCAGATGTCGGCCGCCCAGCCCAGGCTCGGCGACCCCACCATGGACCCCACGAAGAGAGCGACTGCGCCAGCGCCGGTCGCCAGTCCTCGTCGCACACCCAGTCCAGCTGCGGAGGAGGAGACGGTCTGGGGACTCCGGGGCAGGGGAGGGGGGGGGGGGGTGGCAGGGCACGCTGCACTCGAAATTATTATTCTCTAAGAGTGGTTGAAACATTTCTATCTCGTGTCAGTAATATGGTTTCATGATTTATTATTATTATTTTTCATCATTATATTTTTTTAGAATAATTTTTATTTATCTATTCATTATTTTATTATTATTATTTCTAGAATGAGTTGATACAAAATTCGCACATCTTACTTCAATCATATTATCTTCACAATCACAAAACTATCACCACAAGTCTCTCCAAACAAGTAAACACGAATTACACAAATAAGCCATCAAAAAGCGCAATCACTCCAACACAAAACAACAAAATATCCACTCAAATGCAGCCAAGGGGATACGCGCGCAAAACAAACTCAAAAACAACAAAACAGTCACAGTAACAGGGTCTCGAGCGCCGGGGAGGGACAACAGGACAACAGGACAAACAACAGGACAACAGGAGGCTCGTCTGATGCTAATGGGATCCACATGAGCTGGTAATAGGATACCTGGGACGTAATGGTAGGATAGTAGAGGGAAAAGTTGTAAATCCATCCATGTGTACAGCTGGTGAGCGGCCACGTCGAGTCGGGCCAGCTCAGGTTGCTCTCCACCACCTGTGGATGACGTCGACGGCAGCGACTTATCCTCCTCCTGCTCATCAGGTTACCGCTTACTCCTTTTTTATTTTTTTTTTCCTTCTTTTATTCATTTTTTTCTTCTTCTTTTGAGAAACTTGGTTATACTTTTTTTCACTTTCATGTTTATGGTGTGATCTCTCGTGTGGGTTTTTGATTTGCATTTTTGGAACTTAATGATGAAACTGAAGAATCTTTTGATTTCATGTTATACGTGGATTAGCTAATCGACTTTTGGTGGATAGAACTATATTGCCAATGGATATGCTAATGATATATTGCTTGTGAAACATTTTTATTGTTCTGTTTCCATCCAACACTATGTTTGCCTTGTATTCTAGCAAATAATTTTTTACTATGATTTATAAACATCCATATCTGAATAATTATCTAATATCTCAACATATATCATTATTATTATCACTATCATTATCATTATTATCATTATTGTTATCATCATCATCATCATCATTAATATATTTATCATTATTATCATTATTAATATCGTCATCATGATCAATTATATTTGTCATTATTATCAAAACATTAATAATAACAATAAAATAATAATGATAATAATAAGAAGGAGAATGAAATAATGATAATAATAAGAAGGAGAATGAAATAATGATAATAACACTAGCAATAATAACAATAATAACATAATGATAATGATGATGTTAATGACAAAAATGATAATGATAACAAAGAAAATAATAATAGATAACAATAACAATAATAAATTGACAACAACAACAATAAGAATTATAATAATAATTATAACTATAATGATAATAAATAACCTAACAATGATAATAATAATAATCATACTAACAATGATAATAATAATAATAATGAAATGGCAATGATAATAAAATGACACCAATAAAAACGAAAAGAATATAGCAGAATTACCAATTACACACCACCTTTTCTCACCTGTGTGAAATTGACGTCGTATCTCGCGCAGGACAGGTACTCCCCGTCGGCGTGGCGCGGGACAGTGAGTTCCTTAAGCTGCCCCTCCGTCAGGTTGAGGTGCTCGAGGCCGGGCGGGGGGCGGCACCAGTGGGGCGGCGTCAGGGTCATGAACATCTGGCCGAAGTAAACAAAGGCCACGAAGATGTTCAAGATGGCGGCCACCCCGAAGAGGATCTGGGAAGGGCGCGGGCAGGTCGAGTCATTAAGTCATCGGCGGCGGTTGTTGGGTTTTAATTAGATGATTTTTAAGATTATTATTATTTAGAAGTAGAGAGGAAGGAAGGGGGAAGGGACAAAGGAGAGGAGAAAGTGCAAGTCGAGAAGTGGACATCAAAGGACACAGAGAGGACATTTGATTTATTGATGTTGTCATGGAGTGTTCAGGATGTTCTAGATCATAGAGTGTTCAGGGAATGGATTTTTGTTGTTCATAGAGTGTTCAGGGATTGTTCTAGACTTTTTTGTTGTTCATAGAGTGTTCAGGGAATGTTCTAGACTTTTTTGTTGTTCATAGAGTGTTCAGGGAATGTTCTAGACTTTTTTTGTTGTTGCTGTTCATAGTGTTCAGGGAATGTTCTAGACTTTTTGTTGTTGTTGTTGCTGTTCATAGCGTGTTCAGGGAATGTTCTAGACTTTTTTGTTGTTCATAGTGTTCAGGGAATGTTCTAGATCGCGGGTGTTGCGCAATGTGTAATTAGCTGTGTTTTCGTACTAAATCTTTTGGTTATGACCCGGTTTCATCTCCCTAACCGGTTCCCTTCCTCTGTCCAACCTTTTCATTCGTTTATTCTTTGATTTTACAAGATTATCTCTTATCTTATTTTCTTCTGTTCCTTCTGTTTCTTCGAGAATTATTACCCTCCTGCTTTCAAAATACCACTGAAATGCTATTTTCTCTTCATAATTATATACTTTCCCTCCTGTATTTTTAATGGAGGCGAAGGTGCAGAGATATGATAAATATTCACAATATTCACAATATACCGCTGTTATTTGCACTCTAAATAGACAAAATATTCAGTGATTTACCATATACGGGGAGGGGGGAGGGGGGACCTCACTCTTATTTTAAGTATCCATTTTAAATATTATCATTATTATAATTATTAAGTTTTGTATGTGAATTCTATTATTATAGTTTTGCATGCGAATTGTGAGCCCGCAAATGGACTTAAAAGTAAAGGATGAGGATAACCTAAGTTACCTCATCCTTTGAGATGTAATTTTTCTTTTGTCTCAATAAACGTGGCAAAGTCAAAGTCACACTACATTTAACCCCTTCATTAACGTCCAAAATAGACCAGAATAGACAAAAAAAAACAAAATAGACCCAAATAGACCCTCATTATAGACCCAAATAGACCCTTATTATAGACCAATATAGACCCAAATAGACCCTTATTATAGACCCAAATAGACCCTTATTAGAGGCCAAAATAGACCCAAATAGACCAAAATAAACCCAAATAGACCCTTATTAGAGACCAAAAATAGACCGTTATTATAGACCAAAATAGACCCTTATTATAGACCAAATAGACCTTATTATAGACCAAAATAGACCCTTATTATAGACCAAAATAGGCCCTCATTATAGACCCAAACAGACCCTTATTATAGACCCAAATAGACCAAAGTAGACCCTTATTACAGACCCAAATAGACCCTAATTAATCACAAAACGGTCCTTGTTCGTCACACCGGAACCGGCCGCGGCGGGCGTGGCTCAACCTAATTTTAAGCGAAGTTGAACTGGACCGCGAGTGCCTGGGGCGGCGGGTCAAGTGTCGCCCAGGGATCAAGTTGACCACCTGAAGCCACGGCAGGAGGTCTGCTTCGCCGTTTTCTTTCTCTTATTCCTTGTGTTCCTTCGTTTTCTTTCTCTCTCTCTCTCCATTTTATTGCCTTCGGTGTTTTTTTTCCGTTTTCTTTCTCTCATTTCCTTTTATTCCCTTCGCTGTTTGTTTTTTCCCCGTTTTCTTAGTTTTCTTTCTCTCACTTCCTTTAATTCCCTTCGCTGTTTGTTTTTTCCGGTTTCTTTCTCTCTCTGACTTGTGTTCCTTCGTTTTCTTTCTCTCACTTCCTCACATTTCCATCGTTTTCATTTTCTTTTCCTTTCAGTTCTTTTCTTTCTCTCTCTTCCTTTTATTCCCTTCGTTTTTTTTTTCGTTTTTTCTTTCACTTCCTGTTGCTCCCTTCGCTTTCTTTTTTTTCTTTCTCTGACTTCCTTTTATTCCCTTCGGTGTTTTTTCCGTTTTCTTTCTCTAACTTCCTTGTGTTCTCTTCGTTTTCTTTTTTTGTTTTTTCTTTTTCTTTTACTTCCTGTTGTTCCCTTTGTTTTCTTTTTTTTTCTTTCTCTCTCTTCCTTTATTCCTTCGCTGTTTGTTTTTTTTTCCGTTTCTTTGTTTCTTTCTCTCACTTCCTTGTGTTCTCTTCGTTTTCTTTTTTTGTCTTTGTTGTTGTTTCTTTCTCTCACTTCCTTGTTTTCCTTTGGAATTTTGTTTTCTCCGTTTTCTTTCCTTTCTCTCTTCCTTGTGTTCCCTTCAGTGTCTGCTTTCCCGTTTTCTTTCTCTCTCTTCCTTCTATTCCCTTCGTTTTCTTTCTCTCTCTTCCTTGTGTTCCTTCGTTTTCTTTCTCTCACTTCCTTCGTTTTCTTTTTTATCTTTCTCTCACTTGTTTTTGTCTGATTTATCTGTTGTCTCTTTCTTTTCTTTCGTTTTTTTCTTTCTCTTTATACCAGTTAGACAAAATTGAGTGGAAACAATATCTCGTATTTTCCCTTACTTCTCTTTCGTCTTTTCCTTATTCATTTACGTTTCTTTTTTATCTATTCATCTTTTTATGATAATCCCTAAATTATTATCATTAGATTATTATTAAATATTAAATATCAAATGTATTAGAACAATGCACGGTAGTTTTCCTTCGATTCCTATTTTCCTTCTTTCATTATTTTTTCTTTCTCCTCAAGCAAACCTTTTTTAAACTCTCCTTCGTTTTCTTTCTCTCTTATTCCTTGTGTTCCTTCGTTTTCTTTCTCTCTTAGTCCTTGTGTTCCTTCGTTTTCTTTCTCTTACTCCTTGTGTTCCTTCGTTTTCTTTCTCTTATTCCTTGTGTTCCTTCGTTTTCTTTCTCTTATTCCTTGTGTCGTTTTCTTCTCTCTTATTCCTTTGTTCCTTCGTTTTCTTTCTCTATTCCTGTGTTCCTTCGTTTTCTTCTTATTCCTTGTGTTCCTTCGTTTTCTTTCTCTTATTCCTTGTGTTCCTTTTCGTTTTCTTTCTCTCTTTCCTTGTGTTCCTTCGTTTTCTTTCTCTTATTCCTTGTGTTCCTTCGTTTTCTTTCTCTTATTCCTTGTGTTCCTTCGTTTTCTTTCTCTCTCTTCCTTCCTTTCCTTCCTGTGTTCCTTCGTTTTCTTTCTCTATTCCTTGTGTTCCTTCGTTTTCTTTCTCTCTCTTGTGTTCCTTCGTTTTCTTTCTCTCTCTTCCTTGTGTTCCTTCGTTTTTCTTTCTTCCTTGTGTTCCTTCGTTTTCTTTCTCTCTCTTCCTTGTGTTCCTTCGTTTTCTTTAATGAAGACCACTAAAATCTATAGGAACAACGTTGTTTTCTTTCGCTACCTTCCCTCGCCCTCCGTCTCTCCGTCCCTTCGTGTCTCTCTCTCTCTGCTGCAGACGCCAGACATGTTGGGCGTGAATATTGCAATGTTATTTTTCGTCTCTTGACCTTAATAAATTCCGAGAGAAGACGCGACGATGTGCTACTTGAGGCCAGACAGTTGACGGCAGTGTCGTGGTGTCTGAGGAGAGAGAGGGGGTGGGGGAGGGAGAGAGAAGGGGAGGAGGGAGGAGGGAGGGAGAGGAGGGAGGGAGGGAGGGAGGGAGGGAGGGAGGGAGGAGAGAGAGAGAGAGAGAGAGAGAGAGAGAGAGAGAGAGAGAGAAGAGAGAGAGAGAGAGAGAGAGAGAGAGAGAGAGAGAGAGAGAGAGAGTGTGAGAGAGAAAGAGATAGAGAGAGAAATCAGAGCTATATATGTATATGTATATGTATATATATATATATATATATAATATATTATATATATATATATATATATATATATATATTATATGTACGTATATACACATGCACACACACACACACACACGGACACACACGCGCGCACACAGACACTGACAGACAGACCAAGACAGAAACAGGGACAGGGAGAGACTAAAAAAAAGTATTAAAAAGAACAAGTGTTCGTAGTTTCAGAAGGCTTAAATGTTTTAGCTGGGTTAAAGCTATCACAAACTCTCTATTTTGTTTCTGCCCCTATGTTTATGCGATTACACTTCGTTTTGAAACTTTCCATAATGAAAAACAAGGAAAAAATAGGAATGAACACAAATTTCAATGCGTGTGGTCACGTGATGTCTTCATGATGAAACAAGCGATACCTTGTGGGAAGTGACTAAAGAATTATGATGTTTACAAGGCTTAAAAAAGCTTCTTGATAAGAAAACAGAACTGCTGAGTGTACATAAAACATGAAGAACATTTAAACATTGATGATAATAACAGTTACACATCCATCCCTATCCATTAAACACGTTCTAACGAAAATCCCAAACATAAACATGGCATAATCATAAACATATGTACAAATATAAACACAGAACATGGTGGCGAGCAATAAGGGTTAAAATGGCGTGCTCTAAGGGCCGTCCATCAATGTCACGGGTTTTCTGGGAGTAGAAGTCCTGGCGGCGGGGAAGGACAGACGAGAGACAACAAGGGAAAGTGGGAGACAGGGAGGGAGACAGACAGATAAATAGGTAGATAGAGAGAGAGAGAGAGAGAGAAAGCGAGAGACAGTGTGGGAGATTAGATAGATAGAGAGAGAGAAGTGAGTGAGATAGATAGACAAGTAGAGAGAGAGAGAAGAGAGAGAGAAGAGTGAGGGAGATAGACATAAAAATAGGTAGATAGAGAGAGAGAGGAAAGCGAGAGACAGTGTGGGAGATAGATAGACAGATAGATAGATAGAGACAGAGAGAGAGAGATAGACAAGTCTGTTAGGAAGCAGATGGCTTTGCAGGAATGCGGGACGAGAGACAACAAGGGAAAGTGGGAGACAGGGAGGGAGTTAGACAGATAAATAGGTAGATAGATAGAGAGAGAGAGCGAGAGACAGTGTGGGAGATAGATTGACAGACAAATAGATAGAGAGAAAGTGAGTGAGATAGACAGACAAGTAGAGAGAGAGAGAGAGAGACAGTGAGGGAGATAGACAGATAGATAGATAGATAGATAGAGAGAGAGAGAGAGAGAGAGAGAGAGAGAAGTGAGAGACAGTGTGGGAGATAGATAGACAAATAGATAGAGAGAGAGAGAGAGCGAGAGAGAGAGACAGACAATCTCCCAAAGAAGTTCGTGTGTCCACTTTGCTCGAGACTCGGTTTGAGGGTACTTGTCCCCCCCCCCCAAAAAAAAAAAAAAAAAAAAAATATATATATATATATATAACTGACATATTCAACTCCCCAAAGATTGTGCTCATGTATTCTCCACTCTCATAACTACATTTCAACTTCGCCTTCGCCTCCTGCTGTACTTACGCCCTGGTAGCAGCCGCATCCACCCACGTATGCAAGGACGCCCTCAAAGTTTTGGACGGCCATCTTCACGGTCTCTCCAGCTGTTCACTCGTTCAGCACTTTGTTCTGATCTGCGACAAATACCTGATGTTGTTATTTGAACACACATTTCCCCGACATCTTTCCCTTGCAGATATTTCTGTTCATTTCGTCAGGCAGCAACACGAGTCCCTCCGTCACCTGGACCTTCCCCGGCATCCAGGAGGGCGAACCGGGAGTGCCGCGCGGTGCAAGGAGCTGCCAGGGAGTGCCCGGTGGGAGGCCTCGCCGTCCCGGGGGCCGCATCCCCCTCCTGCCGAATCCTGATGACGGCGTGCCCTTCGCGGAGGCACGAGCCCGAGCTGCCGTGCTGACGCCCTGATGAAGTGACGGACGCCGCTGCGCACACGAGGCCAGGTTTAGGCGCCGTCGAGAGTGTGGGCGAACATGCACACGCATGTCGTGTTTGTAGGTGTGCGTAATTAAAAGACATAGACACACACACACACACACACACACACACACACACACACACACACACACACACACACACACACACACACACACACATATATATATATGTATATATATATATATATATATATATATATATATATATATATATTTGTATATATGATCCGCAAGACCACGAGTATCGACAACACCCACAAAGCAAGAAAAAGTGCTTTAAACTTATCTCTAAATCGAGTGATGGTAAGTGAGAGAGAGAGAGAGAGAGAGAGAGAGAGAGAGAGAGAGAGAGAGAGAGAGAGAGAGAGAGAGAGAGAGAGTATAAGTACGTGTGTGAGAGAGTATGAGAGTGTATGTGTGTTTTTTACAGGTATGTATTTATGCATCTGCATGTTACGTATGTATGTATGTATGGACACGTACTTTATAAATAGTATGCATGCTAGTATGTCCACGCAGACTCGCCATCGAGCTCATCAACTCTTCACAGGGATTCTGAATATAAAGAAGACAAAGCGATGACTCGCCATAAAAACTTGAATTGATATAATATGGTCTTCAGTCTCTTTACCAAAATATTATAGACAACAAATCAACTCTCTCAGGGACTCTATTATCTTAGGGTTGGCAGACTTATTATATTTCTCACCAATGCGACAGAAAATTGCGAAAATTGCCAAGGTACAGTTGCAGAATTATATTCAGTACACTTTCTGGGTCCCACTTTTGTACCTCTGGCAACCAGTCGAAGTAAACATAGCGTAAATAGTATTTTTGTGAGGGAGCTAAAGCCCTGGGTAGTTTGTAACAAAGAGTGTGATTGGTCGAAAATAAGTAACTAATAAGTGTATTAATGAATATTTTTTTGAAACTAAGTAAGCCATTTGATCTTTCACTTTCTTCCAATAAGTGATAAAGAACAAAGCCTGTAATATTAGTTATCGTTGACTTTGTAGTTGGATATTCTTCAAATGCGAGATCCTGGCATTGTTTGCTTATCCAAATGGCAACATCTATGATGGGGAGGTGGCATTTCCTACTCCTTATAATATAAGAAGTATCATTTATAGATACATATTTCTTAAAACATGAAAAAGTCTCATGCTTTGAACTAAATTACCTAAAACTCTGTAAATACCGTTGATACTTGCACCATCTAGTAGCAGCTAATCAACCTAATGAAGTTTTTTATCTTTATGCCTGAATCAAACACATATTGAATAAACAGAAACCGTGCTAAATTAGGTTTTTCAATACAGAGCATGAACTAAATCACAATTAGGTTACACTGAATATGTAGATTCGTTATCGATGTGTATGTGTGTGTATCGTCTATGGAAATATGAAGTCATTCTTGGTAATGAGTTACGAAAGAGTGTATAATCTGCTATTATTATGCATTGAATCTTGGCGTTTCTATGAGGAGTTGCATCCACATTCGAAGAGCTGAGCGAGAAAATGCTTGTTTGCTTGTTTCAACTCAAGCAACTATTAGCTGGGTGGTTCCAAGGAGGGTGAATAGCAAAAATCTTAGAACCAACTCCCAATACTTGTTGTATATCTTGTTCATTCTAATGAAATGGGAATTTCTCGCTGTCAGTTGTTATTGTCATCTATCCATTTTATTTCTGTTTGCAGATAGGGTGGGAAGAGGAGGGCAGCCAGAACGAGGAAAATACACCGGGAATACACGGAAAGCTCCATTGCTGAAGGGAATTCAAGGTGTAAGTGTTAGCCCTTTTCAACATTTCAGAAATCAATTTATTTCGATTTACTATATAGATATTTGTTTATACAGAACAGTGCCCTACACGTCATATTTCATGTTCAGATTCAATATCATCATTTACATTTCACAAATGACAGACAAATTACCTATAAAACGGCGAGGCGCGGCCGCGTGACCTGCGATATGTGGGGGTGGATCTCCCGACATGACGTTGGCGAAACGGGGAAAATGCCTCTCAGACAAATATATCGAATTGTTAGAAAAAAAAATCCTCCCATCAGTACACTGTTATGCCTTGGCCCTTCCCAGAAACAATGAGGATAACTGCCCTATTACACACGTCCAGGGCAGTTAGGAAGTAGTTCCCTGCCCAACACCAAGTGGAAGTCCTTCGATGGCCAAGCGAGGGATGTCGCTCAAACCCGACGAAAAATGTTTGGCCGAATATTGTCAATGTTTGAGAAACGGCTAATGAAGCAATCTCGAACCAGCTGATAGAAATCGTGACGTTACATGTGAACACGTGACCTCTGTCTCGGGGATTAGACACCGTTTGAATAACAAAACATATTTCCTATTATAAGCATTACTGTTTGTCTTCCCTTTCTACAGTTATTACCATTTTTAGTAAAAGTATCTCCAAAATTAATAAACATCCCCAATTAGTCGATTCACTGAAGCCCCCATCATCTATGAAAAAAATAAATAATTTTATATATATGTGTGTGTGTGTGTGTGTGTCTTAGTTATCAACTACATGGCATGGCGTTTTGTGTGAGAAGGGGTTCAAAATGTTTATGAAATATAAAACAAAAGATTCTAAAGCGTCAAAAACTGTATAATTGCAGTTCTTTCACACACAATACACACATTCTTGAGGCCTGGTTAACCCGACCACGGTTTTGTGTTCAGTTAATATTGTAAAATGATTATAATTGTCTGTTTATTGAATCCGTGCCTAGATCTGATCTATTAGTTCACAATGAAAATTACATATAAAAACTTTGATTTTATTTTGTGATAAAAGACAAGAATTTCATTTTTTTCTACACATACACATACACTGTAAACAAGCGTCTATTGATAAAAAAGAAGGAAAAAAACTGCATAAACAACAAATAAAAGTAAAGAGCAAGATTAACTGACATTAATCCAAACGAATTTTTTTCTTCTTCAAAATATCAGATATACATGCATTCTGTAAAGAAGAAATTAATGTAGCATGATTTCTGTTTATTCAAAATAAGTGTTTGGTTCTGGCAAAGAGGAAAAACGTATATCATTTTACTAGATCGATTATGGTGCAGCTACGAGAAGTATTTACGAAGATCTTTTGCACATTTTTGTTTGATTTTGCTCCTATACAGAGATATTTAAAACATAAAGCTAAAATCATTGATACTTCTTGTGTTAGAAGAACGGGGAAATCCCGCCTCCACGCCTTAGGTTCTCTCTCTCTCTCACTTCCTCGTTCTTTCTCTTTTTCTCTTCCTCCCTCCCCCCTCCTCTCTCTCTCTCTCTCTCTCTCTCTCTCTCTCTCTCTCCTCTCTCTCTCTCTCTCTCTCTCTCTCTCTCTCTCTCTCTCCTCTCTCTCTCTCTCTCTCTCTCTCTCTCTCTCTCTCTCTCTCTCTTCTCTCTTCTCTCTCTCTCTCTCTCTCTTCTCTCTCGTCTCTCTCTCTCTCTCTCTCTCTCTCTCTCTCTCTCTCTCTCTCTCTCTCTCTCTTCTCTCTCTCTCTCTCTCTCTCTCTCTCTGTTGCCATTTCGATAAACAAACAATTCGAGGATATCGCATTTGAGGAATATCCAACTACAAAATCAACGATAACTATTATTAGATGGTTTTTGATCACTTATTTGAAGAAAACGGAAGATTAAATGGCTTACTTAGTTTCAAAAAATATTCATTAATATACTCATTGGTTATTTACATTCGACCAATCACACTCTTGTTACAAAACTACCTAGGGTTTTAGCATCATTCAAAAAATACTATTTACGCTATGTTTACTTCGATTGGTTGCCAGATGTACAAAAGTGGGACCCAGAAAGTGTACTGAATATAATTCTGCAACTGTACCTTCCTGTGCTAAGACTAAGTCGATGCCGCAAAAAGTTGTTGATAAAACTACTTAGTGCTCCCAAAATTAATATATTTGTCACTTACTATAATAAAAAGGTAAGTATTTGCCCATATGCAATATAATATAATAATAAATATAATAATAATAATAATAATAATAATAATAATAATAATAATAATAATAATAATAATAATAATAATAATAATAATAATAATAATAATAATAATAACAATATAATAATACAAGTTCAGTGAATGTAAACACGCACCGACCAAAACATTTACAAAAGTAAAAACAAAAGTATACGAAACAAAACAAAAATCTCGCATTCAATTGTCCAATTCCTGAACAAAACAGAACATTTTAACGAAACTCGCTGAACAAAACGCCGCCTCCACAGCACAAAATGGGTCGAAGCTGAACAACAAATATTTTCGGACCAGCTGGGCGCCTCCATCAGTATGGAATTAAAGTGAGCCTCTGTATCATGTTTATTCTATTTCGAGTTATTGATGGTTATTAGTTTTCTGTGTTTGATGTAATCTCTTTTATCATTGTACTCTGGAACTTGCATGTAAAAAAGAGCAAGGATTATAACTAATGGAATACATAGGGTTTTGAACGTGTATATATACATACATACATACATATATATATATATATATATATATATATATATATATATATATATATATATATATACACATATATATACATATATACATATATATATATGCATACATCCATACATATATATATATATATATATATATATATATATATATATATATATATATATATAATATATATATATATGTATATATATATATATATATATGTATATATATACATACATACATATATATAATATATATATATATATTATATATATACATATATATATATATACATATTTATATATATATATATATATATATATTATATATATATATATAATATATATATATATATATTTCACATGATGTATATGTTTATTTACGTACATGTATATATACGTACACATACTTATGTGTTATGTATGCAGACAGATAAATACCGATATACATATGCAGATAGACACAGAGAAAAAG